TGACTAACCTCCATGCTAAATATGAAGACTGTGGGTCAATGGAATCTTAAGTTATTTGGCGGACAAGAAAAAACCGACGGACGGCCGGACAGCCGGACGGACAAGCTGATTCCAGTATACCCCCCTTACAACTTTGTTGTGCGGGGGTATAATGACGTCACTTAGAATTCATTTGACTACTGCAATGACGTCACTTAGAATTCATTTGACTACTACAATGACGTCATTTTGAACTCCTTCGACAACTACAAGGACGCCACTTAAAACTACTACAGGGAGTTCACCACACCACCATACTACAAATTGACTTCACGAAACACAGAAATAAGAATTACAAAATGTACACTTCTGAACAATATAGAGTACCATGAAAAGATTTTACAATATATAAACATCTACATGTATATAAAATAGCAACGTGTGTTTGAAATAATTGTTAATGATATTGATATTTAGAATACATTATCATTTAATGTTGTAATTTCATTTGTAAACATAGTGACGTCAATACGGAAACCGACCACTCATAGGACAAGCTTGGCAACTCTTAGCAGCACAAGGCATGGTTGCACCGGAAATGATATCATGATTCAGCATACGCATGCGCACATGTGTGTTCGCATTGTTTCAAAAAATATATTGCCGTGGAATGAACCACGTCAGTATGGCAAGTCCCTATGGAAGAGATCTTGTAGTTTTGAATATCTTGAACAAAGCTCTTTAAATCAGGACATTTCTTCAAAAACACGCAAGTAGTAATTATTGTTAAGTATCAGGTAACTTAAGAATAGTTCTTAGTAGTTTAAAAAACTCAGCACATTTGTTTCGTTTATAGCTTACGGCGTGGGCTTAGTGCGGTAACACATTATGTGATAAATCAAAGGCAGACTGGGGGAAACACCAACTTAGCAACCACGCATATAACAAAGATGCAGACTGTGCAGGCATGGTCAAAGTTGATGCTTATAAGTGGCACGCATTGGATTGATTTTCTCTTTAACACTTTATCTGTGAACAGAAATAGTTTTCACCATACGAAAACGGATTTCTCTTTGTTTTGTTATCTCATAATCATTATCCTGTTTTGTTTTTTGTTTTGGGGGGGGGGGGGGGGGGGGAATATACATTCTTTTAATCTAATGTATTTTTCAACCATGTTTTTCAACCATTGTTTTTATAAAATAGATAAATACAGAATCCCTAAAGAAAAGCCCAACACGGCAAATTGAAAATGTTGCAGGCTCGGTTTGATTGAGCCTGTTCATGGACGGTACTGGAAAGTGCAAGTTACCGTCCACGCCCCCTAGCACCGGCTTAAGCAGAAGACACTAAAAACAAGTAGTATTGCTTTTGTTTTCCTTCACATCTGAACTGTCAAATTGGCACGCTTGAATAATTTATATTATCATAGAGTAATTTCGGTTATAGTATTATCGAAATCCGTAAATTGCCAGAATGGGTTTTTTTCGACACTAATCCGATCAGATATGATTATTTGGAAACTAGTTCATGACAGGAATAAATGTTTTAGAATTTATTGATGCCATATCTCAAGAACATTAAATGATATTCCAAGAGAGTGATAAGGCATTTAATTTGTAACTTATAAGATGAGTTGTGTCCCTTGTAATGGATGCACGTGTTTTTCTCGCTGAATAATAATTTTCAATAAATACTAAGTATGGGAATAGACGTTGTTGCTAATAGAATAAAAACTGGATTATTTTTGATGCCGCGCAAGTGCCGAAACTAGATTTGTAAAGTTTGTATAAGCAAACGGAGTGTAAGTGCTTGTTTACGACTAGTATTTCTCGCTGTGTAACTTTTACTGGGTGGGGATGTGGGAAACTAAAACCCCGGGCCGCGCAAGGTCAAACAGAAACAGCGTACACTTTCTTTTGCTGAAGTGAACGAGCTCCCCCTCAGGACGGTAACATTCCGACAACTCCCAGGAAAATGCAAAGCAGGATAGTGAAGGTATTATCTTTTCTTCGAGATACATGAAAATGAAATTGCAACTGATTTAGGCGGCCATTAAATTCTAAAATTGACGATATAACTTCTGCGTAAATGCTTTGAAATCAGAAAATCAGGCGCATTAGACAAGAAAATCAAGATATGAAAAAACAAATGCAGAAACTATTTATAAAAGTTGACAGTTTAGAATGACAATCCCGTCGAAATAATCTTAGATTTCATGGAATACATAGCAAACTAGGTGAAAAATGGCAGGACACCAAGGTGAAGGTTGGGGAGTTCATTAAAAATGACTTGGGTCTACCAGAAATGGAAAATGTGCAAATCGAAAGAGCCCATCATTTTTGCAGTAGGTTTACAGAAACATGCCCGATTGTAACTAAATTCGCCAACTTTAAGGATCGCCGCGAAAATATTAATAACTAAAAGCGAGACAGTTTTGAATAAGGGTCTGCTTTTTCAGTAAGGAAGATTTCACAGAAACGTGTTCAGTTTACAAAAGGCGTGAAACTAGGTCAAAAAATAGTACAGGCTAGAAATAGTGTGCAATGCGTCACTACGCTATGATAAAACTTATTGTTGAATGATAGCAATTACAAATATGACGATCCTAACAATCAAATTTACCAGAATCGGATCTACACGAGTGAGAGGCGAACGTGTTACAGGAACACGTGATCCGAAATTTAGGCGGGTAAAAGGTAATGATACATTTTGTTAAGCGATGGCGACCAACAGGAAACGAAGGAGGAATGAAAGTGAGTTTTAGGAGGCAAAAATAGGAAACAGGTCAAGGCCCCTGTGTAAATATAAACATTGTCACTATGGAACATTTGCGGTTTAAAGAAACATGTACATGAATACAATTTCCTAAATTATTTTAAGAGGTTTGACCATTATTGGTTTAGTAGAAACTTGGAATGATGTTGAAAAAATGAATTTGCAAATATTTTGTATGGTTATACGTGTTTTGATAACATACGTTTAAAATCTTCTTGCTCTTTACGTAACAGTGGTATGCCAGAACATAGATATCCTAGAAATTGTTATTGTTATTTGATGTTATTTGATGTTAACTAGACAAGATAATGTAAGAAAGAAAAACTGAACTTCTTCAGTAAAAAACTTATCGTTTACTTATGGGTTTGGCTTTGTATGGCTAAGTCAAAAAATTGGGGATATCAATCTATTTATTTGTCAATTTAAACAAAGGATTATTGATTGTAAAACACAAAATTGGATAAAAGAAATTCAGAATTCACCTCGATGTGACACCTATAAATTTTTCAAATCTATCTGAAAAGTATTTATCTATTGATATGCCATTTTATGTAAAAAGATCATTATCAAGATTTAGATGTTCTAGTCATAAATTATATATAGAAACTGGACGACATTTGGGTATACCAAGATATGAGCAAATTTGCCAACACTGTTTGCAAAATTATAACAATTCGTTCATCGAAGATGAATTTCATGTAATTTTTATTTGTAATAGATTTTCCCAACAAAGAAAACGATGTTTCACTTGATTTTTCAAGCATATATATCTCCATGGTACAGTCATGATTATACATTCCATAATTTTTGTGATTTGATTAAAACTAAAAATGAAGAAACAATAAAGAATATTGCTTTTTTTTGTTCATGAAATTATGAAAATTGTTGATAATTAATATCAATAGGAAATAATGTCATATATAACAATGTATATTGTAGACACAGCTAGCTATGTATATCTGTTTTGATTATATTGTGTTCTTGTTATAAGATAATATGATATTGGAATATCACACATTGTCAATACTTTAATGTGTATTTTTTCTTACACTCGTGTGTTTATTCTTTAATTTAATATAGAACAAGTTGTTTGAAAATACAGTAAATGTTTTTTGCATAATGTTTGTGTTTGTTTTACATAAACAAAAAAGACAGCTAAGCATGTGCATATGATATTATATCACGAAATAGTTTTTTTTGTATTTTTCCAGATACAAAGAGAGTAACACATAAAAACGAATGAAAAATATGTCTTCCAAAGAGCCGTGGGTGAAAATGTATTATGAAAATGTATTATGAAAATGTATTTGATTCATGAACAAATGTAAATTATAGTATGGAGTCTTTCATGTGAATTACTATGTTCAGGGAATGTGCAATACCTTAACTTTTTATTGAAAAATAAACTGCTGTCGAAAGATCGTCGCAATTTATGTTAAGTACTATTTTGATCTTTAGATTATTTTAAGAGTTAATTATATATTTTTACTTGTGACCGTATAGTGAATTACATCATAACAACATATATTGACGAACTGGTATTTAGATACAAAAAATTATGAAGACTCACAATCTTAAAGGTCATTATACACATACCTTTACGTTTACTTAATGATTAAATTACAACCGTGGTAATCAAAAAGACAGTGTTTCTAGTTATTTAAAACATAAACTTTTTTGAAACATGCCATACTAAGAAAATCCATTGTTTTTTTTTCTATAAAGAAAAAAGGTATTGGTATTTGCTATTTATTCAATTCCTATATAATACATTAAAATTATGAAATATTTGTATATAACTATGAATTTTATTTATAAAACAAATGTATGTATAAACCTTTAAAAATTATAAAGACGAATGAGCAGAAAATAATAGAAATCACACAATAAACATTATCATGATTGGCACTATAGATACTCTACAGGGCATTTATCATATCTACATTTTCACGTCAAATTAAGCTCAAAGGGATACAAAATGCGTGTATTTGTGATATTTTGTTAATTTTTCAAGTGAGAATCATATATTTCATATTAAGTTTCCTATGTAAACGTTTCGACTATTTTTTTTTCTTTTGAAATGGGACAACTAACGAAACCACTTTACTTACATTTGACGTTTACTTTGTTTTAAAAGTAGAATTAAATTTTTGATAATATAACTGTGTAACATTTGTATTTTTGTAAAGCACTGAGATCATGCTTTATTCAAATGGCAAGAAGATAACCCTTCCAAATGCAAACAATGACCTTCGTACTAAATGCACTTCTATATCTATACTTACTGTCATTAAATAAATGAGGATCATTACTACTTGGCTTGGACATGAGGATATTTCATCTCATTACTGGAATATTATTCTACTTGGTATCAATTCTTGTACAGTGTAAGTACAATTTAAGTGAATATTTTGCACTATTTTTAGCACAACAAAACAAAATTAAACGTGTATTGCTAATGTCTATTGTAGATATATTCTCATTACTTGATGAACGCACGTATGTCAAATTAGGTTATATAGCAACGGAATTCGTGATTTTAAATCACGGTAAAACATTTTGATATACATTATACACGTTCGTATAATTAATCAACCATCCTCTTTTATTTCCTCGTTTCTTTTATTTCATATTATGTATTATTAAAGTTATCATACCGTCCGTGCTTATGCCCTGTCCTGTTATATTTTCATGTCCTGTTGGACTCCTTTCCGGTAGTTCTGCGTTGCTGAGTCGTGTGGGGTTGCGTTCATTGAACGCTACTCTTCTTTGCTGATCTTGTTTTTTTATATTTTATACATGAAAAGCATGGACACTGATAATAGTTTATTATTTCTTATATTTCGACAAATATACTTGAATGAATTTGTATCAAACACTTCCGACATGACACATGGCAAAACATAAACTAGAATAAAGTTAAAATAATGTTAGTGTTATATAACATATTTCAATGCTATTAATATGATAACTTCTGATAATATATACAGGTGACGGGAGAAGATGTTTTCATTGCACTGGTGTACAGTACCCGAGAGATTGTCAGAATGTTACCACGTGCAGGCATGGTCAGGTAAAACATTGTTGTTTTTTTTTTATCTCAATCAGTATATAGAAAGAGTGGTTTTGAGAGAAATGAATAAGAAACAGATATTCTGTCATTTTAATACTTTAAATTTATTACATTGTCACTCCTTAGTCTAGAAGATTTCAAATGTTTATGCTCATGTGAAATAATCATTTCCTATCTGGCATTCCAACTTGGCTCACAGTAAAATAATTCACATAGGAGTCCACTTGATGCGTGCATTTTTTTGCCCACCACACCAGTTTATTACGTTTAATTACATTTCTCTAATGACATTAAGATTCTTAATGAGACCATTCCCTCACATATTGTTGAAAGGAACACAATAATCAACTGCATACACTTCTTTTTGTGCAAAATAATTGCGAATACGTAACACGAATTTAAAAGTTCGATCTCTATTAGCAATATAGCATGTTATTTTAATTGTCCTTTAGAAATCAGATCCAACGAAATGCTATAATTTGAAGTTTTGTATAACCTTCATTAGAGACATTTGTTAAAAAAAAAACAAAAGAAAACATTAAATACGTTTTAAACAGAAATAGACAGAGATATAGTTTATCGGTATTTTTATTTCATTTGACACACATATTGAAATTATGCTTATGCAAGGGTATATAGATCTAGTGAGTGAACAATTATTATAAAGCCATAATGTTAACATTTTGCCAATATTTCTTACGATTTGACCAATTATCTCGCATGGCATGAACGATAAAGAACTAACGTCACCCAAGAAAAGTTCTGTAAATTCTCATCAGATTTTACCTGTAATGTTTCAAATTATAAGAAGAATAGGACACACGTTATATATTTTAGGCAGATTTATGTTTCATCTTAAACATTTTACAATATCTACTGTTGGGCGATCACCATTATAGCAGTCAGTCTCTTAATATATGCTGTCAATTCAGCTCAACATGACAATTAAAAATGAGCATAATGCCACTTTAAAATGGACATTCGTCAAAAGGGTGTATATATTTCAGACATGTTACACTCGGCAAATTGTTATAGCAGGTGGAAATGTTGCGTTTAACTTGGGATGCCTCTCTAAAAGGGTACGTGCATTTCTTTTTATAAATAATGCACATGACACTAAACAACATAAATGATCATTTTAATATGATACAAAATATAAAAAAAAGATCAACAAGGAACGGAGGCATTAAATGAACGCATCCCCCCCCCAACATAGGGCTACCGGCAAGGAGCCCAGCAGGACACCAAACTGGATGGGGCACAAGGGCTTAAAAACAAACGGGATGTTATAATAAAACATGAAATCATAAAAACTTACAAGATGAAAATTAATTAATGAGAATTAACAGAATGACATAAAAAATGGTGTAGAGAAAGTTTTATACTTACGTTTAAATATCTTAAAATTATCTGGAGAAAGAGAAATCCATCGGAAGCAAATAAAAAAAGAAGAAAACAACACATAAACATTTGCTTATGACCTTGGAAGTTACACCTTTTTTGATCAAGATTAGAAAGGATTTGGAATAGTATCTATTAGTATAATTATAGTTTTATAACAGAAATTTTGGTATATACTTGTCTACTTGGTACCCTTATATAATACTGTATGTTTGTAACAATGATCTGCCTTTCCTTGGATAACCGCGACGTAAAAGTTATCTTTATATACACGCGGCTGTAGCAAATTAACGGATAAGTTCCTTTTTTCATCAAAGCAAGCAATGCATTTGCTTTTCAAAGACTTTTGGTAGGTTATATATGGTTGTAAACTTAATAATTGTATATGCTAAGTATAGGATAATTATACTGAAGAAAAAAATACATCTGTCAAAACCTTTAAAACTAATAACAATACATAGTCTTTTCGTTAATAAGAAAAAAAGAAAAGCATAACACTTGTGTTGATTTTAATGTTTAAAAAAGTAAACTATTTTTTTATAAATTAATTGACGAAAAAATGACAAATTATCAATGTAGGAGGAAAGTTTGATAACGGGAAAATTAAGAGGTTAGGTTTACATGATTTAATAAGCATATGCCACTGTGTAAAATATAACATCTAATATGTTTTTCATGAAATTTAATTTTTAAAGAAATGCCACCATTTACCATCGCCCCTTATTGGAAAAAGATCAGGTGGAATTGTTGACAACCACTCAACCGACATTGTCACGTGCACTGAATGTTGTTTAGATGATTTCTGTAACAAGAAGGGTTGTAGAACAGCTGGTACATTTACTTTTATGTACTTATGAAGTACATGTATGCTTACTTAAATATAAAGGTAAAAAAGTATTTAAAACGTTTGGAGCATTAACGTCAGACTTTTTATATACGACACACTTAGTTTGTCATCATTCAATGAATGCCTATATGACATTCCAATTATATTGTACGTTGTGAAGTGAAGTCCGAGTTACGTAGCTCACCAGCATGTTTGAGGGGGAACAAAAAATAATCTGATATATAAAAAATAGTATGTGTTCTTTCAGCTCAAAATGTATTGTAACTAGCATGGTTATACACTCTACTTATTTCCCTGAATGTTTTCAGATGTGCATGTTATATCGTCCTATAACACCAAGTGTTCAAATTGAACATTCGTACAAAGGACAATGCGAAACAAAAGTGGTAAAATATATTACATGACTTTTTAAATGGTAGGGCAGATAGTACATTAATGTCACGATTCATTGTGCTTACTCGAACAATGCTTGCATTTTGATCTTGTCATGCTTTGCAGTGCAAATGACCCTTTCAAATTAATGTATTCTCGTATTATACAAGTAGACATTAGACTGATTTTATGACCCATACAAATAAGTGTAACCTATAGTATATTGAAAATTCGTTAAACCGTCTAATTTGAGTTGGTGATACCCTAAACGGAAGCAAATATTAATATTTTAGGTGTGTGACATAATGACAACAAGATTTAGTAGCCATCAGTGTGACCCTGTGTGCTGTGCTACAGACTTTTGTAACGATCGATGTGGCACTTCTCCGAATGCTACAATAACGTCCCCACTCCATCATAGCACTGAATACGTCACAAAACGTCCAGGTAATATTATATGTTTGGAAAATGCTATAATACACAGTCGTCTATATAAATTAGGAACATGCTTTCGGCATTTGACGATATTTACACTAAAATGATTATCTAATGATGAAGACACGTTCATTGCATATTGCAATTCATTTGTACGAAATTTGATGAATAATATCTATTAAATGCTAGAGGTATAATAAATACGTGTCTTGTCAGTAGAATGGAATTTAAAAAAACGTCTTTGGGAAAGAGAGAAATATATTTTAGTCGTCTATATTTCTGCACAAGAAATAGTGTTAATTGTTAGTTTTTCTACTTCATCGTTTTATGTGAAACCATCGCTTAAAATCATATAATGTCTTTCAAAAATGTTTTAAAAGTCAAAATTGCAACAAAAGGAGAAGACGCAAATTGAGAAACACAATCTATATGTTTCAAATATTGAAAACGATAACAATAATTATTCAATTTTATATCTTATTATAATTGGTTTATAGACGAGTTTAAGAAGACCCTTTGTGGGTCTATTATTCTTTTCTTTGAATTCCTAATCAGTTACAAATTATTTATCATTTAATGATTAACCTGTCCGTGCTCTGACTTTGCCCTATCCTGTTTTTGTTTGGGTCCGCCTGGGCTCCTTGCCACTGGTTCTTGTTGCTGGGTCATGTGGGGATTACGTTCATTGAACTCCGCCTTTCCTTGTTGATCTTGTTTATCATATTTGAAATTTTACTTATGATATTTGTGTACTTTATTTGTCGTCTTTATGCCAAGCATTTGTAATATTGTGAACCCTTTATATCATTTTTGTGCAATTTTGTTTAGAATTTAAGTACCTGAACAAAAAAAGAAAGATATTTAACACCATAAATAAAAATTGTTTTTAAATTTCACCTTTAAACAAAGAGACGTCAACATCGGAGCTAACCACGTCCGTCGCTCCTTCGACAAATTTGACGATTGGTGGGAGTACAAGTAGTAGTTGTATCGGAAAGAGTATCATGATACAGAATACGCATGCGCATATGTGTGTTCACATTGTAACGAGACCTGGATTGTCTTGGAATGATTCACGACAATATTGTAAAACTCACTTTGGAGGAGACCTTGAAGTTCTTGATACTTTAAACAAAGCTCTGTCACTTAGGACATTTCTTCAAAGTCATAAGAACGGTATGTGTTTTTATAAGGAACGCTAGTTTTGCTTGGGTATTAGCATAAAATATTTTAGGAATAACATACGTATAAAATGACAATAAATACAAATTCGGGTTTGATTTCAGATTGTCATATTAATATTTGTAAAACATATGACAAGTGCTTGCAAAACATATTTATTTTTTAATTTGTAATATCTAAGGTCGGCGAATGACGCGGTCTAAATTCAAAGTGTTATGTTCCTTTTACACTATAAAATTAAACTGATGCTTTTTATAGTTATTTTACAGTGTCATTAACCGCTTTCAGAAATCGTAATCAAATAAAGTAAAACTTTAAAGTTACTATGTTCACTAACTATGTTCTCAAACTGCAAACAAATCTAACTGGTTTAACTTTCTAAACTTATTTATTTACACTTAATAGTACTAGTAGTTCATTTACGTTATTGATATAAAATGTGATGGGTGTATGCTAAAGCTATCATTAGACTCAATTGCATATGTACTCATACACAATTCTTAACATTTCATAGAAAACAATATCTATTATTGCAGATTACAGGCATGTTTACTGGATAGGTGCAAGGGATTTTGATAACAACAATTTGTTTACATGGATAACTCAAGAAGCACTTGTAAAATCAGAGACAGACTGGGCTCATCATCAACCTGTAGCAACCAGCCATGCGGACTGTTTTGGCATGCCTCCATCTGAAGATTATAAATGGCACACATTTGGATGCTTTGAAATCAGACACTTTATTTGTGAACAGAAATAGTTAATTAAAATCATGCTTCCTTTTAAATTCTTATAATTAAGTTTTTTTCATTACAGTAGAGAAAAAAAGCTGTTTTCCTTTATCAGTATTATAAATAAACGTAGATAAAATGTTATGTTCTTCTTTGATTTTGAAAATGTTCTTCCAAATTCTTTTGGAAACTAGATAATTTGTTCTTGAAGTTGAAAGACAAATGTCTTGAGATTTGTAAGTCCAAGGAGGAAAATTTTCTTGACAAAGACGCAAGCCTTTTGGACTGACCCGAATGAATATGAAATGTGCGATTCGTCATCTAACTAGCGATAAAAATATTTTTCAAATCATTTGGAAATCGACTGTAACATGTATTTATGTTTATCAAGAAAGTTGTGCTCACAATACGAAACAATTTGCAGTTCATTGTGACTTCAACTATTTTGGGAAGTTTTCAACTGTTATAATTGTCTGATTGAGATAACAACGTTAACCTGACCAAATTTGATTGATGAGAGATCAGTTCATGATTAGAATAAGTGTTTGAGGATTTACCGTTGTCAAATCGCAACGACATCAAATCCTATTGCAAGATAGTAAGAGATCCGCTTATCGGTTACATGTGTTGACCTTAAATGAGTGTCGGTTAGTAATTATTATATATCAGTGCACTCTATTACTGCGAAACAAGAACTTCACCCGTGTCGTTCATTTTAGACGGATAAATGGAATATTATTGGTAATGGTAGTCGGGACAGGTGTTGCTTAAAACACCTAACAGTACCAATAATATGTGAATCTTTATATAAACAAAACATCTAATGGTCATGACCAATCATCATATAAATTTTGAAGTTCCTAGACCTAAGCGTTCTTTAGTTATTGATCGGAAACCGTTTTTACTTACAAGGTCAATGTGACCTTGACCTGTGAGCCAAAAATCAATAGGGATCATCTAGTGGTCATGACCAATCACCATAACAAGTTTGAAGTTCCTAGGCCTAAGCGTTCTTTTTGTTATTGATCAGAAACCGTTTTTATCTACAAGGTCAACTTGACCTTGACCTTTGACCTCAAAATCAATAGGGGTCATCTACTAGTCATGACCAATCACCAAAACAAGTTTGAAGTTCCTAGGCCTAAGCGTTCTTTAATTATTGATCTGAAACCGTTTTTACCTACAAGGACAATGTGACCTTGACCTTTGACCCCTTGACCCCAAAATCATTAGGGGTCATCTGCTGAACATGACCAATCACCATACAAAGTTTGAAGTTCCTGGACCAAAGCGTTCTTTAGTTATTGATCGGAAACCGTTTTTACCTACAAGGTCAATGTGACCTTGACCTTTGACCCCTTGACCCCAAAATCTATAGGGGTCATCAACTGGTCATGACCAATCACCCAAGTTTGAAGTCCCTAGGCCTAAGGGCTCTTTACTTATTGATCGGAAACCCTTTTTACCCACAAGGTCAATGTGACCTTGACCCCTTGACCCCAAAATCAATAGGGGTCATCTACTGGTCATGACCAATCACCATACCAAGTTTGAAGTTCCTAGGCCTAAGGGTTCTTTAGTTATCACTCGGAAACTGTTTTCACCTACAAGGTCAATGTGACCTTGACCCTTGCCCCTCAAATCAATAGGGGTCATCTACTGGTCATGACCAATCACCATACCAAGTTTGAAGTTCCTAGGCCTAAGGGTTCTTTAGTTATCACTCGGAAACTGTTTTCACCTACAAGGTCAATGTGACTTTGACCCTTGCCCCTCAAATCAATAGGGGTCATCTACTGGTCATGACCAATCACCATACCAAGTTTGAAGTTCCTAAGCCTAAGGGTTCTTTAGTTATCACTCGGAAACTGTTTTCACCTACAAGGTGAATGTGACCTTGACCTTTGACCCCTTGACCCCAAAATCTGTAGGGGTCATCTACTGGTCATGACCAATCACCATACTAAGTTTGAAGTCCCTAGGCCTAAGGGTTCTTTAGTTATCACTCGGAAACCATTTGGTCTACGGACCGACAAATGCAAAGCAATATACCCCCTCTTCTTCGAAGTGGGGGCATAATTAGTTCTTGAGTTCTTTTCGCGTATAAAATATTCTGGTTGAACAGTCAAAAAGTAAACATCAGTTTTGATCGGAATTTGTTGCAATGGGAATAATTATGTATCGAAATGGAGCAAACGATTAAAGCATACAAAAAAGGATTATTTAACGAATTTAATCAGTGAAACATGACAGGTGTGTGGATAGATGTAGGATATCATCGTTATTTCGTAAATGCACATTGTCAAAAGCCATGTGAAAAATATTCTAGATAGGATCATATTTCACAGATCGTAACCGTATCAATGTGTTCGTGTTTTCTTTTCTAAATAAAACACAGATTATTGTATGTTTATGACAAATAGATATCATCATTTGCTTAAAGAACAAAAGAAAAAATCTTGAGAACACTTCAACTTGCGAAGTATGGACAGTTAAGTTATTGTTACGCTTGGTTCAATTTTTAAGTTTAAATTTTAGATCATTACAGTATTTGTATGGGGTAATTAAATAATTAACACAAAGGTTTGTGAATAACAGCAAAATATAATCCCTCGTAAGAATACAATATTATTTTATTCTCAAGGACAAACTATCAATCCACAATTAAAAGAATCTAAAACATCTTGGCAAGATATTCAACTGATGTTCATCCTCAAAACTAGCTTTAACGTTGTTATAAATATACAAAACATATTTTTATAGCAAAACTTTCCGATAGAATGAGTCAAAAACCCGACATGACATCTTGTTTCATATAAAATAGCAGTTTATTAATAGTATTAACATCAAACACATAAGAAAATCCATAATTATTATAATCATTCGATAGCTCCATTTCATTTGAAACCCAACTTTATTACCATTTTTACATCTTTTTCCACAGCTTGATTAATTACTATCATTAGGACTTTGATAATCAACAGTATTCTTGCAAATTGTGATCTGACAAATGAAACTTATGTACAAATGAATTAATTTTTGATAAATTCATGCATATGTAAAATCTACTATTTTGCAGCAGAGCAGCCTCTTGTTTTTATGTAAAAACTTAAACTACTGAAGGATGTCATGTTCATCATATATTTTGTAAAATAGATACCGTAAAACATGTATTTAATTTTGAAAAAGTCAAATACAGACCTCAATGCATGCTTTTTTATTATAAATTTATTGTCTCAATTATATGTTTCATGACAAAATAAAGTTGTTGATTTATTCGGTTATTACTTCATACAAGTTGTGTTGTACTTTTTATCAGAATAACTGACCAACACTTTATTTTATTATTTGTCTGGTGATATCCTGTAACATTTTAAGTGAGAATATACAATCTTTAATTTCATGACATTCACACTTGAATGATTTATTTAAAATGTGTTTTTTATTTTCTTATGAATGTATTTTTTTCTATAAACTTATAAAGAAATTAAAATGTGAACTTCAAAATGCACTGATTCGTTATCTGAAATGAAAGATACATTTGTTTTTGTATTTGAAATAAAGAAAGTGTGCTGAAGTATTTTGCTAATTTTCTAATGTCACACAAGGGAAATACTCAAAATGTATGCATAAACATATTTTCATGAGTGTATCGCGAAATCTATAATTATTGTGTGTTATAGCTGAGGCATTATTCCAGCAGTTTTTGAAAAAAAAGTTAAAAAAATAATTATGTTGCCATGTTTTTAAAAAATAAAAAACGACTTTTAGATAATTGTATTGAAAGCTTGTGAAGGTTTTACACGTTCAGTTTATTTCACAGGCATGACAGGCTGTGAGATAAATAATTTTACATAATTCTTTACTTTATTGTGAAAGAAGCCAAGCCATATTTTCACATCAGATCCCTTTTCTGCTCTGTTTTTTTATCATTTACAAATATCTTTATATTTAAAATATGCGAGTTGATCGAACAAATTGCTTGTAGTTCTTTTTTTGCACTTGATTGAACAAACATGCCAATTGTTATGTTAGTTTTTATAGATTCAGCATTTCAATAATTTTCTTTAATATTAATAGCCAAAAGCCCCATTTGAATGCTAAAAAATTGATTTAATTTGACATCTCTTAGCTTTGAAAGACAGATGGAAGTTTACATTTTTGAGACTCTTATTTGTTTATACACGCATCATGTAGATTATAATTAACAAAAAAGCATTCCCATTTCTGAAGATTAGAATAAATAGAGATATGTATATTGGCTCAGGATATACGGTATGCGTTTTATCAAGAACAGTTGAAATTAAAATGCAAGAGAATATTGTCTAGGAATTATCTAAGAGAACATTCAGAAAAAAAGATATAATCAGAAATCTAACTTATATGAGACATATAATCGTACCTACACGAGTGTGTACTAATATCTTTGTTTCTTTTACCTGATTCAACGTTCAGTTTCGTGTTATCAGTAAAACAAGTCGAATAAGTAACTGTTTGAAATATGTTGTCAAAACATTAAAACAACTGTAATACCTGATATATTTTGTACGTAAAGATACATGTTTTACAGTTGTTAAAATGCTATGAAGATTATGTATACAAATATCTTTTCTTAATCTATTCGGCAGATTTTAGTAAAAGTTATGGGAAATATCATAAGACTTTACCGTTTTTTTTTTTATATCATTTAAAACAGGATATTTTTAATAACATAACAGCTTTCCTTGTCATTATACACGAAGAGTACCTGTTTTAATTTTGACCATGATTTTTATATTTCTGGCTAGGTATCAACGTGCGAAAGAGTTTGGGTTATAATGATTGTTTTACAAAATTTATTCCGCTCCTCTTGATGTTATACAGTAAATATGAATATTCTCAGTTTCTAAAGGGCGCACGGTAGCATATAGCGCAATAAGACAACTGAAAAAGGTGTCTTATAGGTTTATGCGATATATGCATTTTATACAGTCATGCTTTTCTTTTATTATATATCTTATAGTTGTTCGAAAAATTATAACTGTAATAA